AACCTTTCCCCTTTTAGCTCTGTACTGAAGTCACTCCTGAGGTTCACCATTCAGCCAAAGATTATATAGGCCCATAAAACAAAATGAGACTAAACAGGCACAACAGCCCAGGACAAGGACTAGAAGCCAGGAGGGGACAGAAAAGCAGGTAATAGGGAACCCAAGGTGGAGAAGGGGAGAATGTTGATATGTTGTGGGGTTGATAACCAAAGTCACAAAACAGTACGTGTACTAATTGTTTAATGAGAAGCTAGTTTGTTCTGAAACCTTCATCTAAAGTACAATTAAAAAACAAAGCAAACAAACAAAAAAACATCTAACTTCTCTAATATATATAAAGGTCCTGGAAATCAGTAAGAAAAAGACCAATAAATCAACAGAAAAAACAGGCAAAAGTAAGAGTAAACAGTTCACAGGGGAAGAAATATAAAACACTGTTAAATACATAAAAAGATGCTTAACACTTTATTTATAGTAAGAGAAATGAAAATTCTCTTAGCAGATTAGCAAAAATCCAAGTTTGATGGTACACTCTGTTGTCAAGGTTGGTGAGGGTCTTATTGGTATAATCCCTAGAGAGGGTAATTCAACTGTAGGTTTTAACCTGGCATTTACTCTTCACAAATTTATCCTGCAGTCACACCTTCACACACAAGAAATAATGTACATACAAGACTATTCACCGTAATGTTGTCTATAATAGCAAGAGATTAGAAACAATCAAAATGTCCATCAATAGCAGACTGGTTATATGAATTATGGTACATCTATATAATGAGATATTATGCAGGTGTAAAAAAGAATGAAAAACTCACTATACATGATGGGCAAAGATCTTTGAAATAAATTAAGCAAAATCACAAAGAGGCAAAATAGTATACACAGAATGCTACACTTTATGTAAAGAGATGGATAAGAATATATGATCACATTGTTATATACATAACAAAACTGAAGTACACACAAGAAAGTAATAACATTGGTCACCTAGTCTATGTACATAGGAAACATGGAAAAAAGACGTTTCAGATATATTTTTTTAAATAATTTTCGGGCCATGTGAACATATTATGTATTGAAAATAATTTTTAAGTAACTACTTAAAAAAATTCAGGCAGTTCATGGACTCTCTGAGAGAGCCAGACAAAGGCAGTAAAATCCCATTACAGGCTGGTCTGTGCCATTGCTGGGCACAGACATGCCATTCTGCATTCTGGGTGTGCTCACAGAGGACACTTGGCAATGCTGCTAGAACCACTACCTCTACTGCCTTGGGGAGCTGGATGCTTTATTGAACCGCCACAAAAACGGTTACCCTCTCTTCACAAACTAAGTGACTGAGGCACAGAGAGGTTAAATATCTTGGTAGTATGCTACTACCAAGTGCAGAATTGTGACATAAACCTAGGT